AACAAAAATAGTGCAGGCCAGATGTGTGCCCTCCACCCCATCACCCCTGCCAATGGCTGAGTACTATTTAAGCTTCCTAGAACTTTAATACCAGTTCAGGGACAGGGAGAGGCATGACTCCAATCCAGATTACATTCCCACCCTTATCATGGGAATCTGTAATCAAAATTAAGGTGGTTTGGCAAAATAAAGAAGTTTTCATTATGTGAACATCTGAGTTTGTGTCCTCAGGGTCATTTTCATTGTATGAATGGCTACTAAACACGTACTACCTGCTAGTTGGAGAACTGAACACTGACAAGCATTATTCCTTTGAGCCTCACAATTATAGCAACTGTGAGGTAGGTACTTTATTATTCTATTTAAAGATGAGAAAAATGAGGCTCCGAGACGTTGCATAGTGCCATGATGCTCTGAACACCCATTCCCCTTTTCTGGCGAACAGCCCCCACTGTCCCAACCACTGTCAGTCCATGGGGTCCACACAGCGCCCTGTGCACAACTCCAGCCTAAGACAATCAGATCACTATACTCCTGAGTGATTTCTTCTAGTGCAGATGAGTGATCTAAGTGGGTTCAAATGGAGTGACTCCTGGGCTTTTCTGGGATCTACTTCATAAGAGCTTCTGGATTTCCCTCTGGGTTTGAACTTGAGAGGATGGGAAGCTGACTGAAGGCAGGCATCGAGCAGAGGCAAAGATGGAGAGAAAGCACGTTTGAGTGCTGAATCCAGCTGTGCCCAAAGTCACCCCTATCTGGGAATTATCAGTCATATCAGCTGTATTAGTTTGTTTGGGCTGTCACAACAAATGGCCACAAACCGGGTGTCTTGAAAAAACAGAAATGAATACTCTGATATTCTTGGGAGTTGGAAGTCTGAAGTCCGGGTATCAGCAGGGCCACGCTCCCTCACAAGGTTCTGGGGCAGGATCCTTCCTTGCCTATTCCTAGTTTCTGGTAGTGGCCAGGGATCTTTGGCATTCCTTGGCTTTCAGCTACATAACTCCAATCTCTGCCTCTGTCATCAGGCCTTCTTTCCTCGGTGACTTCACACGGTCTTCCCTCTGTGCATCTCTGTGTCCAAATTTCCCTCTTCTTAGTATAAGGATGCTGGCCATTGGGTTAGGAGCCCACTCTAATGGCCTCACCCAAATAAGGTAACATTCACAAATACAGGGCGTTAAGGACTTGAACATATCTTTTGGGGGACAAAATTCAACCCACAACATCAGCCAATAAAGTCCCTCTGAGCTAAAACACTTGGGTTGGGATTTTGATCATTTGCATCAAGAAAGAGATGGAGCCAAGACTCACCCCCAGGTCTCAGTCAACAACCAAGACCCAAAGCTGTGCCCTTAACCACAAGGCTGGACTATATGCCTATTCAGCCTCTCTCTTCCAAAAGTCAGTGGCTCTCCTTTGGGAAGAGGCCCAGGTTAACTGTCTTCTATCTGCCTCACAGCCACTGTATACAACACACTCAAGGAATATGAGTCTTCGTATTCTGTCTGATTAATTAACAAAAATCCAAATAGTGAAATTGAATTAGGCGTGGTTTATCATAGGGCAGGAGGCCGAGAGATGACCAGGACTTTTATCTTGGAAATAAAAAGTTATTGATTGTCCACACGGTTGCATTTCAAGATTTCCCCTGATCACCTCAGGTGGTGATAAGAACATGTCCCCTTCCCCAGACATTTAATTTCCAAAGTGGAACACCAGCCACGCTGCATTCACATGCATGGCCGTGTTTACTTCAGGGCCTGAAAAAGGCTGTCATTTCAGCTTGTTACACTAAAAATATGAAAACCAAACTGATCTCTATAGGATTGTTGTAAATGAAAACTGCTTCCTAGAGGCAAACCAAGGAAGCAAACTGATTGAATGAGAGCACAGGGCTCTGGGCAGGAAAGGCAATGGAGGGTGTATCCAGGGTAGGAGGTAGAAGCCAGGACTTCGGCAGAAATAGATGTGAGAGCATCATAAAGCCCATCCGGCTAGGTCAGGTGTCTGGTGCCATCTTCCCCAGTTCCTCTGGCTGACTTCCAAAATCACCTTGAAATATCACTGGCCACTGACCACCTCTTCCTTGAATCCTACCGGGATGAGGACCAGGCAATGCTCCTTGCCAGGCCCAGTCCACACCTGGCCTGCTAAACTTGAGAGAGCAGAGGAATCAACTGGGTGGCTCAGTTTGTGAAAAAGGCAAATTTGGGGCTATATCCCCACCCAGGCATTTTTATGCCCTAAGTGTATTAGCTTCCTGTGGCTGCCATAACACATTACCACAAACTGGGTGGCTTAAAACACAAAAATGTATTCTTTCACAGTTGTGAAGGCCAGAAGACCAAAATCAAGGTGTCAGAAGGACTGGTTCCTTCTGGAGGCTCTGAAGCAGCATCTGTTCAAGGCCCCTTCTAACTTCTGGTTGCTGCTGGCAACCCTTGGCATTCCTCGTCTTATTGCTGCATAACTCCCATTTCTGCCTCCATTTTCATATGGTGTCTTGGTCTTCCCATAGCCTTCTCCCTTGGGTCTCTGTGTCCCAAATCTATCTTTACTTCTAAGTAACCAGTCATTAGATTTACGGCCCACCCTAAATCCAGAATGATCTCATCCTGGGATTCTTAATTATATCTGCAAAGACACTATGTCCAAATAAGGTCATATGCACAAAGGTGGGGGGAAGGGAGGTTATTTGTGGGATGGGGGAGATTTTCAATCCACTACAGTAGATTTGGGGAGAGACCCAGCATCTTGCATTTCCTTCCCCACCCCCACAAATGCAAAGTGACTCTGCTCCCAAAAGACTCTGATGCAGCTGATCTGTGGATCATATTCTAAGAAACAACTTAATCCAGTTCCTGGGGATTCAGAAATGAATAAGACATGGCCCCCTCTCTTGGAGAACCTGCTGTCTGGTGGAAGATACAGACAGAAGAACTAATGATTAAAATACAAAGTATGGCCTAAAGATCCCAAGCTCCGGAGTCAGACAGACCAGGGTTCCAACTCTGCCCCCTCCAGCTGTAAGGCTCCGAGCCCATTCCTGAGCCTGTCTGAGACACAGTCTCCTTATCGGTAAAATGCGAAATAGTTCCTACCTTTATACCACTATGAGAATGAGGCCATGTAAAATGCTTGACATTAAAGATGGACTCAAAAAATAGCTAGTAGCTGTTGTGAAGGCGGAAAGCATGTTGCCTTCCTTTTCACATCCCCCAGCCGCTCACTGTGCGCCTTCCACATCCTAAGCCTTTAATGAATGTCTGTGGAAGGAAAGAAGGCATAACTCTGGAGAAACGCAGCTGGGATAGGCAAGACAACTCCGGAACGATCCACCTCAGGATGTCGACTTATTCTACAAGCATTTTTTGAGCACCTGCTGTGTATGGTGCTCAGTATGTAGGCTCTTGGAACAAAGAGCCAAATAAAACACACAGCCCAGCAGGGAGACCGCTGGTTACACAGTGCACCGCCTTCCATTGGTTTTCCATCCTTCACATTTCATTCATTAGTATTCTCTTAGTGTCAGTGTGACTCCCCTCCCAAACTATACCCTATGTTTCAGGAGTCCTTTGAGGGCACAAAGGGTTCTCTCTTCTTCACCGCTGAATCCCAAGCATCTAGCAATCAACCTGACTCCTAACAGGCATCTGATGAGTATTTGTTGGTGTAGTGGATATTCTGCTGCTATTTCTGAGCCCAACACCGGACTTCTGTGAAGAACCACCTCCAGCCTCCCTGACGGCTGGGTACGATTCCTGAGGGGCCAAGTGAAAAGATGCCCAGAGGATCCATCTGTCCCTTGACATAAAGCCTGCAAGTTAGAGGAAATGGGGACAGGCTGTGATGCAGTGTATCATTAATACTGTGCAGTTAGGAGCTTTCAACTACTAGACCAAGAGTAAACACACTAAACTAGGGGAGAAGCTGACATCTCACTCCTCTTCAGAAATACAATGCTTTGCACACACTAGACCTGAAGTGCTGTTATCAGGCTGACCTGGAGGCCCTGAAAATGACGAGGAGAGAAAGTACAGGGCTTCCCTTTCAACACCCCACAAGGGAAGGAAGAGAGTAAACCATTACTCCCTGCAGGTGTGCACAGGAGTAAAGAAAATGAAGCCCCGCCACATGGGCCTTGGGGGTGGGGAATAAATTTCAGGAGGGAGAAAAGGAAGAATTTCTAGCGGATAGTCAGCATGGCTGGGTAACTACCATCACAGATGGTGATAAGCCAGGACAAGCAACTCACCTGTGAGAAGGAGGCATCAGCACTTCCTCTCACCTGGAGAAGTCAGGCAGCCCCTACCAGCCGGAAAAACTCTTAGGGTGGACTGAAGGGGGAATAACATAGGAGTCCAAAATGGGACCCCAGGGGTGTGTGTAGCAAAGTAGTTAGGAGGGCACGGTGTTCTCTGCTTCCACAAATCGAATGACCTGAGCACCTGTGTTTCACTCCTTTGATAAAATGGCCCACCGCCTTACACACAGTAGGCCTGCAGTACACACGTGTTAATTGAATTGAATAAGTGAACGAATGAAGGCTCCCGAGGACCCGGCTCTCCCCCACCAAAACCTCCGCAGCAGATCATTCCACCCGGATTTCCCCCCTTGGCACCACCTTTCCGCTTCGGCACTGGGCGTCCAATCGCTTGGCTCGGAAACAGTGGCGACCAGCCAGGCAGGTGGGACTCGCCTCCTTCTCCCGGATCCCCGGGCTTCTCTCTCTCCAATCCAGGGCCGAGCCCTGCCTGAGGACAGGCCCCTCCCCAAAGGCTGGCACCAGATGGCGTGGAAGAAAGTGGCACCAGGATAGACCGGAAAGTGCGGGAGGAACGGCGCACCTGGCGGGTCGCGCGGGGACAGCGCGCCGCGGCCCCCGGGTGCGCGTCCCCCGCGCGTCCCGGTCCTGGCTCGGCCACCCGGGGGCGCGGGCCCGGGGCTGGTGGCAGCTCGGCCCGGCCCATCCCGCCTGGCCGGCGCCTCGGCCTCACCTCGCTCACCAGCCCCTGCCAGTCGCTCTCGGTCCGGTCGCTGTTCATGGCCTTCTGCTGCAGGCGCGGGCGGGCTGCATGGACGCCGCCCTCCTCCACGGCCGAGTCTCCCTCCCGCCGCGCTGCCGCCGTCGCCACCGCCCGGGCCCCCGTGAGGGCCCGGCGCCTCCGAGCCGCTGCGCCGCCGCCTCCTGCGGCCGCCGCGCTGTTGACTCAACGTCAGCCTCCGCGGGAGGAAGGGGAGGAGGAGCCGCGGCCGCCGGGGCCGCAGCCGCAGCCCGTCCGGCCCCGGCCCGCCCCGCGCTGCCCCGGACCCCGACCTCCACCCTTGGCCCCGCGCCCGGCTTCGTAGAGAAGGGGCGGCCCGGGTCTCAGCCCAGGTAACCCCTGACCCCAGCATGACCGCTGTCCCGGGCTGGAGGCCAGCGGGGCGGGCACCAGTGTGTCCCCCTCAAGAAGCACATCCCCAAATCCAGCCCTTTCCTAACACCATCAGGCTCCTGCCACTAGAATGGAAGCCCCACCCGGACAGGGGGTTTGCTCTGTTCTCTGATGAACACTAGGTACAGGGCCTGGCACACAGTAGGTGCTCTACAAAGATTTGTTGAATGCATGAATGACTGAACCAAATGTTATATATTTAACATTGTTTTTCAAGCTTCCAAGGCTTACTTTTATCTACTTCTTAAATTATCAGCTGTCACAAATAGAAAGCAAATGTAACAATTGGAAATAAAATGATATTGAATTCTAAGTAGGCTGAAAAGCTCTGAGTTTGACGTTTAGCATGTGTCAGGAGAGGCGCTAAAGACATATCAGCATCAAACTGAGACATCCTCTATGAGGAGAGACTGAAGGACAATGACAGAGGGCAGGTGAGGCTCACCCATGAGTTGGTACTATTCCAGGTGGTTTTCTTGGGCCACCTGCAGTCCTCTCATGGACCACCACCAACAGTGAGCTCTCCAAACCTGCAGAAACACTGCCTGTGGAGATGAGCAGGTAGGCTGAAGAGAAGTTGTGAATCCATTTCACTGGTGTGAAAGCATCACAGCCAACATTTATTTAGTATTTTTAGCCCCTGTTGATCCTGGATCAACCCCATGAGGTGGATGTTATCCCTGTTTGTCAGATGGGGAAATGGAGGCCCGAAAAGTGTTGCTAGTGAAGGACATGACCAGCCAAATGTCACAAAAGGGAGGCAGGCCATCGACCCCCCAGCTGCCACAGGTGCATGCATGAGCCCAGCTGAGACCAGCAGAGCTACCAGCTGACCTTGCCTAATTTGCTGAGCCACAGATCACGTGCTACGGAACTGTTGTTGCTTTAAGCTACGGAACTGTTGTTGCTTTAAGCTGCTAATGTTTGGGGTGGTTTGCTATACATCAACAAATAACTGATATAAATGGTGACACTACAGATAAAGAGCCTTGATGGCCTGAACTTGGCCCGGTAGCTCTTAAAAAGCAATAGCCCCTAGCATCATGACTTGTTGAGTCCTCATCTAAAGAAGATTCTACAACAGATTCTGGCAGGCCAGGGACTACGAGAAGGAGCCAGTCTCCCAGTCAGCACATTGATTCTGTGCCTGTTGTGTACAAATATTATACTCATCCCGGGTTCAATAACGTTGCAGACCATGGTCTCTGTTGTGGGACATGAAGGTTTGTAAACCTTACCCTCAAGGTTTTGCTCAGAAAATAAGAACAGGCCCTAGAGAACATTATGCTAACTGAGATAAGTCAGACGGAGAAAGACAAATACCATATGATTTAACTTATATGTGGAATCTAAAGAACTGAATAAATGAGCAAAGTAAACAGAAATAGTCTCAGAGATATAAAGGAAAAACTGATGGTTTGCTAGATGGGAGGGGGTGGGGATGAGGGAGAAGGTAAAGGGACTAGCACAAATTGGTAACTACAATATTGCCACGGGGATAGGAAAGATAGTTTGGGAAATATGATCAATAATGTTGTAAAGATTTTGTAGGGTGTCAGATGGACACATGTCTTTTTAGGGAGACCACTTCATGGACGGTGTAGAGCCTGACCACTGCACTGTTCACCTGAAGCTGAATAATATTATATGTCAACTATAATTTAATATATATATAGTCATGGGATATGGAGTACAGCATAGGGTATAGAGCCAATGGAATTGTAATAGATATATATGATGTCAGAGGGGCAATAGTTTGGGGGAGGGGGATTATCACTTTGTGAGGAGTGAAACATCTAACTATTACATTGTTTTGTACGCCTGAAAAGAAAAAAAAAATAAAAAATAAAAAGAGAAAAAGAAGGGGCTAGAATGCAGCTAAGGCTTCTGGTCTTCCGACCATGCTGGGCCCCATAATCATTTCTCTTTATAATCCAACCAGGTGGAAAGAAGGTCATCCTTGAGCTGAACATCTAGGGTTAACTCAGCATCAAGCACTTGTTCCCAACAGCCTGATGTCTCATGCTAAGAAGCAAGGTACTGTCTGCCAATACATTGCCCTTTGGCAAACCATCTGGTTTCATTCTGACCTGTCGATGAAATAGACTGTGAGAGTGGACATAACTCAGTCCATCTGCCTTCCGCCACCTCCTGGTCTGCACCTTGCTCTCAGCTGGCATTCAGGTGGAGAAGCATCCTGCCCCTTCCAGTCACCATGTTTAGCTAAGGCTTACAGTACTGCTGCTCCTTGGGAGCTTTCACTAGACCATCAGCAAGCTGTTGGGAGCCGAGGGATCTTACGTTAGAAGCCATGTACCTTTAAGACAACTCTCTGTGTGACGCCATTTCTCTTATGTGCTTTCCTTCTTTGAAGTAAGTCAGCCAGTAATTAAGGTATTTAAAAATAAAATTGGGAGTGAAGTGAATCAAAGAGTAGCAAGCCTCTCCCCTCCCCAGCGTGTGGAGAAACGTCCAACTCAATTGAAACAGCATCTCCAGTTGCCTGGGTTCTCCTCAGAGGTTTCATGCCTCACATGCCAGCTCGAACCTGCCTCGCTTGTGAGATGTGATGAAATCACAAAGCAAAGCAATGTTGCTGCGAGCGATTCTTTTTTATCTCTTTTCATTTATGTAGGCTGACATTGAGTAATAATAATAATTAAATGGCGTTTAAGCTTTTAGGCACCTATACCAGAAGGCTTCTAGATACCTCATCAACAGCAGTCCAGGCTGACAAAAAACAAAGCTAATTATATCATGGTTAACTTTTTCAAAAAAATAAATAAATAAAATAAAATAATAATAATAAAACTGCTGACCAACTATCCTGACCTCTGAGGAAAGCAGCACATTAAATGTTCCATCTGACCATCTGTTTGCATAGGACCAGTTTAAAACCAGGTGCCCTTGTCTTAAATTTGCCACTAAGTATTGACATGTTGGGCTGAGCCTCTGTTATCCCCTTAGCTCTCTGAAAAACCTCTAGAGACCCAATTTTTCCATATATATTCATAGCCCCAGGGCCAGTTTTATTTATTTATTTACTTATATGCACATATAGTGTTAATAGAAAGTGCTTAGATGCTTCCAAATGATGTTTTTCATTTTCCAAAGTTGGAGAGGGTTTTAGATGTGGAAACTCCAAAACAGCTTAATCTAAGAAATCGAACCAACAGATACTGTGGAAAACAAAACAAAATCTCTGGAGAGGCTGGGACAGCAAGGAAGACTTGAACTTGTTAGAAACCTGAGCCTCTTGTTACAGGTTTTCTACTGACTTGCAGGATGACTCCGGCCAAGTCCCAGCAAACCCAGACAGACGGGGAAAACCCTTAAAAGCATTTGATACAGCTTCTCCCAACAGTGTTTTCAGGTAAATTCTGGCTGCCCAAGCAAAAATGTCAGAGTTCTCATTAAAGGAAATGAAGCAAATCTCCAGGAGAGATTTTTTTCTTTGAACTACACAACTGGGGCACTATTCATGTCTACTCCTTTCCCCAGTCACTTTTCTCCTGCCTGAATTAAGAACCCCAGTCTGATGAGCCTGGAAAGAAAATGATTCATAATGACTGTGGCTTATAGTGGTAGGTAAATATATTTTTAAATTAGCTCTATGTGAGCTGAGGTCCCTAATTCTTGCTCTTGTCAAAGGGGGGCCATTTTGACAGGCCTGCTAGGATCCCCTATGGGCTGGTTGCTAAATGCCTTCCTTTGTTCTTGACTTCACCCAGGGGCAGAGGACCGCAGGTCCCAGTGTGCACTGCAGTCAGGCCTCCTGCAAAGCCCTGAGACCTGCGGTCCCCTGGGCCACTGGCCTCAATTCTGTAAAAGATAAACCTCCCTCTCTTCCCTCTACCTGGGGACACTCTGCAAAGGGCCTCATCCATTTTTCTATCAGGGCTGGCAGCCAGACACCAGACAGACAGGCAGGGGATCCTGGCCAGGTTCCTGACTCAGAGCATCCTCTGTCTTTTAGCCTCCAGAGCTTCTGGGCCCTCTCTCTGCCTCCACTAAGCCCTCCCTGCCCAGCAGCAAACAATCAGTTGCCCGCTGCTCCCCCCAGCCCTGCTGGCTGCCAATCAGTCAGGCAGCAGGGGGTAGAAGGAAGTTCCACTCCCCGCTGAACCTCCACGGAGGTGCTCAAAATGACTGAGTGGGCCTGATGAGAGCCTGGTGGGCACAGGCCCTGCGATTGCCATCCTGAGGGGGCACTGGCGTGGGTGTGATTGGCTGGGGCATTGCGGGGCAGGGAGTCGGGATGAAGGGAGGCAGAGGGGCAGCTCCTCCTGCTGATGGAAGAGTTTCAGGACGGGGGACTGAGCTGTCAGCAGGAAGGGACATCTGCTGGAGGAGCCGGATAGGAAAGGAGAGGCAGAGGGAGAGTCAGGGTCTGGGGCTCCTGGTGAGAGGCCGGGAGATCAAGAACCAGGGGAGGAAAGTGGGAAACCCTGGGCGCAGGGGTGGGTGGGAAGACCCACCGACAAGCTGGGCTGGTGGAGGAAGTAGAGTGATTCGTAGCCCAAGGAAGGAGTTAAATGAAAAAGAGACAGGGAAAGTCACTCGCCTCTCAGATTATTCAAATTTGTGTACTTATTGATAATGTATTTCATTTCTTCTGCAAGGGGGGGAGGATATGATTCAGCACAAATTTGATGTAAATTTATGGAAATGGAAGTGTAGAGAGGCTGCAAGCCCAAAATGCTGGCGGGTCGGCTGCATGGCCCTCAGCTAGGCAAGGTTACCACTCTCTGGACTTGGGGAGCCAAAAATAGAAGCGTCTGACTTGGGGGCCACTGGCCTCTCCTGCAGGCCAAGAGAGGGACTGACCCTGTTGCTCTGGAAAGCTTATTAAAAAGGAAAAA